GGGCCCCTCGGCCGGAGGATGGCGGCGCAGTGTGCCCAGGAGAGCATCTACAACCTCCTGCCCCGCCTGGAGGAGAAGCCTGTCAAGCCTCCCAGGTACGTGGGTGTGACAGCACCACTTGCAGACACGGTGACTGATTCTGGCAAGGCAATATGTCTTATGGGTAACAGGTATTAGAAAAAAAAAAAAAAAAGAGGCTAGTTTTTGCGTAGTTATTGCTCCTCCTCATGAGTCACTGAGGGTTTACAGCCTGCTCCACGAGCTGATGATTCAGTTTGGTATCTTCAATGCCATCTTGTTTGTGAGGAATTACGTGACAGCTTTGTTATTTGCACTGTTAACAATTTTTCAGTGAGCAGCTGAAAAGTTGGGATTTTTTAGTTTTCTCAGTGCCACACTTCTGTTCTTTTCATGCATCAGGTGTGTCTTCAGACATTGTTCCTTTTGCTTCCCTTTCTCACCCCTCGCCTTAGAAACATTAAAAATGCCTTTTGCCCCCCTGAGTATTAATTCCTTTGAGAGTTTTTGTAAAGTTCCTACTTTATAATTAAGCAATCATACAGTTTTTTTAGGTCTCTTATTTTACACAAAAGAAAACTTATAGTTGGCATTTTCAGTGAAAGGTTAATGTAGGTCATAATAGCTTTAAAATGAGCAGATATATCAGTGACACGCCCTAGAACAAAGGTACTTATCCCTTTTTGGGTAAAAAGGTTCAGACTTGTGAGATTTCTAGTTCTGAACCTTTTCCATGTAAAAATAGATAATCTGTTTTGTTTCCAATGTGAATGAAAGATACATTTGGCAGACAGAGGAAAGTGTAATGACAGTATGGCAAGGCATGCAGCAGACTAAAACCATTCCTGTCTTAATACCATCCCAGGGATTTGGATGCTGCATGGCCATCAGGTTCAGTTTAGGCAAGGGATTCCTTAGGTTGGATGCAATCTGATAAATCCCCTTCTGATCTCATTGACTGCTGTTGTCATCCCACTTCCTGCTTTGGTTCGCAATGTGCCAAATACTCAGCTGGTAACAACACATGGTAAAACCATGATCTGACCAGTTTTAACTAATGCATACAAAACCTAGAGTCTTTGATTTTTTTCAAATTAATTCATGTATATTTCACTCTCAACTGACCAGGTACTACTCGTGAAACCAAGGCAAGCGTCCTCATTTTCCCCAGCTTCGGTGTCCCAAGATGACACCTAAGGGATAGTACCTGTCTTCTTATAAAGATATTGTCTTTTCTCCCCTTGCCAAATACTGTATGCATCAAGATTCTCAAGTCCCCCATAACCATGTTTTCTTCCTCATGACTCTTTCTAACCCTATGTTATCAGTGTATGACAGCATTCAGCCACTTTCTTGGCCTGAAAAGTCACTGGAAAAATGTAACTGCCACATCTCTCTGTTCAAAGGAATGCCTATAGCTGTCTACAAAAGACATCTTTAAGAGGCAACTTTAAACCTTATGCCAATATGTAATAAACTCAATACCTCCTCCTTCACTTCCTTGTTCCAAGACTGTGTGTCCCTGCTAGGTCAAGCTCCTTGTAAAATCACTACGTTTCTGTACTGTGTGGCTACAATGCCACTCCTAGCAAACAGTGAGGAACACAGTAATTTATGAATTTGGTGGGTTTATGCCTATGTCTATGGCTGTTTGCCATGAATTTAACAGAAAAAAAAATAAACCCTCATTCCTTGTAATTAGAGATATTTCCGGAATTATGCATAATCTTACATACATAATCTTCTTTCTGATTTTGGAGACCAAATCTCCAGAAGACAAAATAAATTCACATTTTTAATGAGGTTCTCTTACATTTTCTAATGTTATGATCAAGTACAAATACCTGTATTGGACATTTGCAGCTCATACACAAAAGCTTTTATCAGTGTTGCTACTATGGCTCCCATTCACTGGCCCAGCATTACATCCTTTCTTTCATCCTGTATCAATATTTCTGTGAAGCAGGATGCACTATATGTAATCTTTTTGTTCTGTTTTTTCCTTACCTAAAAACATGGATTAGTTTTTTCATAAACACTTAGGTTTTTTCTGTGAAAGAAAAGCGCAACTGTTTGTCAGTTTTTGTCTACCATAAATTAACATGCCATGTTTCCTGAAGATGGACAGATTTTAAAAGATACAGTGAGATAGCCTTAGCTTCAGGAGCAGGGAGTTCTGCTCCTTCAGGAAAACATCTGAGACAGCTCAGTCCTTCAGACAGACACAAGATGCTGCTAATCAGCTAATGATTGGAGAACATGTTTGCATACTTTTGATTAAAGCAGCAGTTACAGTGCCATATGCAACATTACACCAAAACAGCAGTGTGTGCATACAGCTTTTCAGATCTGAGCCCTTACTGATTTTTGCATTAGCCATTTCAGTTAGTGCCAAAACCACCACTGATTGCAGTAGTTCAGGATCATAGTTTGGATCTGTGTAATATAAGAAATATACAGTTTGCTGTGCTATTTCAGAGCAGTCATCCATCTCACCTAATCTCTCATAATCATCTGTAACAGATGGTTCGATAGCAACATTGAGACAATGATACGGTCAACAGTGATAAGATAAACTGATGATCAAGAACATTCTGTCCAATTCTCAACTACGTTTGACATGTTTTCTGAAGTATGAGGTTTTACAGACCTCTAAAATATGTTTCATCCCATAAAATGAAGCAGCAAATGTTCTCATCAATACAGGTCTCATCTTTTTTGAAGTCAGCTGAGCTTTTCCTTAGATATGTTTGATCGCTGTGTTATGTAATGTACAACGTACTGCAGCTGCAGCTTCTGAAACAGCCAAGATACATTGGCATTTGCATCTTTCCCATACTACAGACTTTCAAATACAGAAAATCCAGCAAAGCAGGTTCATGAGTACTGTTTTCCTGTAGATATACAATGGCTGCATAGTTTGGATGGATTTTGGAACAAAAGAAGTAGCTCTTAAAAAAACTTTTCAAAATTGAGTTAGTTAAAAAATAAGGACCAAAGTGTGTAATGCAAAACCTCATAAAAATAATAAATTCACGTTTCTGTCAGACTTTTAGAATGCAACACTCAAAGCAATTTATTTCTAAAACTTAAGGTTTCAAAATACCTCTTTTCATTATTTATATTAATAGTGCATACGGGAACCATTTCCCAAAGTGTGATAATATGGACCTTGGAGACACAAGAGAAGAAGGAAGAACCAAGCTGACTTAAGAATCAGAAGTACAACTTGTCAGTGCAGTGCTGGCCTTTGTCTTAGTATGGAGGCTGTATGAATGATGGCATTTATTTGGGAGAGAGTATAAAACAAAATAGCTTGGGCTTTTGGCATGAACTACCGCAAAAATGTGTATTCTTTGAAGAAGTACTTTTAAAAATTTTCTGGCCTTTAACCTCCTTATGGCTATTTTTTTCATGTCTAAGGTATATATCCACATTTAGACCATCAGTGAAATGTGAAGTAGCGAAAAATAAAGCTCAGTGGAAAACTATGGGACCAGCAAAAGTTGCAGTGCCATCTCCAAAAAACTTTCTGCAGAAACATTCAAAGGAACCCAAGCTACCAGCAAGTAAGCGTAGACATGAAATATGTGAAATGTAATGTATTTTTTACATTTTAAAATGAATAATATGAACGTTGAAAGTAACAGTTAATTATGGAGAATAAAATTTTTAAAAATTCATTTTTGTATGGTGGGGCAGTTTCCATTGTTCCTTTCATAGTATTTATGATATCAAAATTATTTCTCTCTTTTACAAAAATGTTTCTAATTTATTGTGTAAAATACTGAAACAAGCAACAAGGAAATTAGATATGTGATTAGGAAATACAGTAAGCATTTACTGTCATGTGGTACAAAACCAGCTGAAATACAAAGAAAAATTATGTTTCTTTTGGCTGCAGCTATTCATATATTGAAGGCGTATTGATGGTATGTTCTATGCCACTGATATTTCAATTTGTAATTATGTAGTTCAGATTTGTACACCGTTCTTTTCTGCAACAGATAATATGAATGGGGGTTGTGAATGTGAACTTGTTGTTTTCAATGCTTGAAGAGATATGGGAACAATATGTGTGCCTTTCTTGATGCTATAACTAACATACAGCTTTTACTCTTCAGCACCATTGTCAGCTTTTAATCCCATAGCATTAAATTGGCTGGCAGTGCTCAAATCATAGAATTTTTTGGAAAGCTGCATGTCACAGAAATAAGAAAACTGGAATATTTTGTTGCAAAACTCATTCTCTCTTTGAGCACAAACCATAATTCTGGGTATAAGGAGTTGACAGTTCTAATGTTCAGCCTCATGGCCGGTTCTGCAAGGGTGGAGTGACCTTAGTGCTGCTGGAGTCCTGAGTACATTGCTCTCAGAATTTGTAATTGAGTTCTAAAGTTTCAGCCTGAAATTGTTTTTCGCCTGGAAAAACAGAAAAGCTTAATGTATAGTATAAAAATAAAAAAAGCTGTCTAAGAGAATGTAGGAGTCTAGCACCCAAATTTGCGTGGCACATGCAAATGGCTTTAGCACTGAAAATGCAGGCTGTCCCAGGAGGCTTTGGAGGCTTAATGCCTCAGGCAACGTGGATTATTAGAACCTTAAGGTAAGCTTTGGCCCAAGAGGTCCTGTAGGCATCCTGGGTTGTTTTTGAACAAAGTCTTCACTTTTTCAGGAAATCTGAACATAGTTCAGATACACTGGGATGTAATTACTGCATGACATCTGAGCGTGAATGCTTCCAAGCTCAAGACCTTGTTAAATTACCACACTGGTGTTTTAGATGGGCATAGGAAAGTTGGTTCACCAAGGATTTGGAGCTGTTCATAAGATCCCTTTTAAGTACTTGTATTATAAATTAGTGTCACCTACTTCAAATTTGCTATATATTAGGATACAGCACTCTGACCCATTTTTCTGAGACAAGCAGCTGGCAATATTTCTATTTCAACTTGTTGATTCAGGGCTTCATATTAGCAATACATCCTTGGGTGTTTGCATTTGGAGTCAATGTACCAGAGCCTCAAAGTGACTATGACACATCATAGCTTCCATCCAGACTAGTAGTTTCATTGCCATGATTAGATCCTAACACATCTTGAGAAGGAACCATATCATTAACTTAGAAAGTTCTTGTACCTGCGTTGGATGGAATTTCATACCTACCTCAGAGAAGTTACACTGCTTAATCACCTCTTTTAAAGCATGGCACTTTCATCACTTGGAATTTAACAAGTTATCAGTTGTGTAAATGGGATTATGGCATTGTCTTTATGGTATCTGTGCCGCCTTCAAAACGGGGTTTGATCCAAGTGCTTAAAAAATAGATTGCAAGTACAGAACAGGAAGATTAATTTTTTTTCCCTAAAGTCTGGGATAGTGTCATTCTTTTAGAGTCTGATTACTCACCACTTCCTTACAAAAGGTGTGTTTCTTAACCTTCAGCTGAATCTTGTATTACTGGACTCTGGCATTCATTTTAACCAAGTTCGGTTGCTGGCTCCAGAAGAAACAGGGGCTCCCAAACCAGCAAGTGTGCACCAATGTACTGCAGATAAGGGTGAGCCAGAGCTCACTGAGAAGCTTCAGAGATCTTGTTTCCAAAAGGACATCCTAAGAGAAATAGAGATTTAAGTCTGTGGTTCCTACAGTACTAAGTTATGGCAAGCTATCAGGTTGTAAAAGCAAAACCCAGGAAAGCACCAGTTCATGGGGTCAGTATCAGGAAACCAGCTGTTGTAGGAATGAGCTCGGTCACATCTGACATTACAGTTATTTTCTGCCAAAGAAGAACGTGAACTCAGACAACCTGAATCAAATCATTATCCCTGATAATGACTGTGAGTTATATCTAGTGCCAATGTGGTGGGAAATGAATTGTCTTTCATCACTCACCTGAAGTCCGACTAATCAGGAGACAACTGACTTTCTGTTGGTGCCTTGGAGAAAAGATTACGCTAGAAAGGAAGAGTTTCTATATTCTCTGGAGAAAGGATTGTGAGAAGTTGTTTACGAGTGTTAGGGAGCAGGAAGAGAGGGCTTTTCCCTAAAGGGGAGGTGAGGCAGAAATTGAGGGCAACCACAATGCAGGTTAGGCAGCGACCTCACCAACAGGGTGCAGTCCCACCACACCAGAGGCAGGCAACCAGAGTGGGTGGTGATGAAAATGTGTCCTATCAATGGCCTAATGACCATCAGGGAAGACGGGGTAACAGGTCAGGTCCATCCACTGATTCCACACAGCTCTTCGGGAATAGGACTAGGGGCAGGCATGGCTGAGACAGCTTAGCCTGGTGCTGCCAGCCCACGGCTCAGCTGAAATGGGGTTCCTGAGCCCATGGGTGTGGGGTGGGTGCCCTAGGTGAGACTGGGCAGGGCCATTAATGCCTAAGGGCCCTGACGACGAGCATCTCTAGTAGAAGTAGTTTTAATTACATTTGAAAGAAGACCCATATTACTGCAGTTAAGAGGAAATGAATGGCATATTATAACCAAACCCATCTAAGACAACATAGTATTTCCTAGGTTTTGAAACTCCTGTTATGCCAAACAAGCCTACTCATTTTCATCATAGTACATTCCTAGTCAATTCTTTCATTGTAGATACAGTTGGTTTCTATTTTTATGTAATTTTGTACATAATTTTTCCCTTTTGAAAAATGTAATAACATTAAATTGCAGAGCTCTTCATGGTTATTGCTGAGAATGTTTACATGCTCAATTCACAGGAAAAAAAGAACAGGATAGTAAGAAACTGCCTGCATTATCAGTGCCACGGAGGACAGATCACCCAGTTATGGGAATTCAGAGTAAAAAGAATTTTATAAATATGAATGCAGTTGCTGCTATCACAGGATTGCCTAAAAAACCTCAACCTATTTATGTTGATAGAAGACAGGGAGATAAATATCTGCTTGAGACTTCAGGACTTGTTCCAAAATATATTAAAAAACCGGTAAGTTTTATTAAATTATAGTGGAAATAGTAGTAGCAACACCTGTTTTAGGTTCTTTACTACATTCTCCTATGCAATGTTTATGACTCTTTTTGAGATGTTTAGATACCACTGCTGTTTGTGGTAGATGTTTGAAATTCATCAAGGAGAAATCACTGGCACTAGAGTTGTGCCTTGCCTTTGCTCTGTATTCACTTGCTTATTCTGTCAGCAAAAAACTGGCAGACTGGTGCTGCTAAAGCAACAGCATATGTGTTGCATTGGGAACCCAGGGAGTATCTAATGGGGAGACAAATTGAGTTCTGTGATGAATGAATGCTCTTTAGGAAAGACAGGCAGGGAAGAAGAGGAGGGGTTGCCCTTTGGATGAGGGGCCTGTTCAAATATATGGAGATCATCTATGGAATTGGCAACAGGCTGGCTGAGCTTGTGGGTCAGGATCAGAGGAAAGGCCAGTAAGTGTCAAAAGCATGTTTCTTATGGACCATCCAGTCAGGTGAAGAAATGGATGAAATCTCTTTAAGCAATTTGAGGAAAACTTCAGATCACAGTGCAGCTTCTTACGGAAGACTTCACCTTCCTTGATATCTGCTGAAAGGATGACGCAATGAAAGCATTCCAAAAAGGTTCCTGGAGCATGTCAGCAACAGCTTAACACAGATGGTGGATGAGCCAACCAGTGGTCATGATCTTCTGGGTCTGCTACTTATAAATGAGAAAGAACTGCTCAGAGATGTGATAATCAATAGTAGTCTTGGTTGCACAGGCCATGAAGAAGTTCAAGATCCCCTCCTCGTTGGGGAGCCAGGTGGTAGTGTACAGACCCTGTACTTAGGAGAGCAAACATCAGCTTATTCAGAGAACTAGTAGGTAGGACCCTGCAGGAGACAGCTACGGGAAGTAAAAGAGCTTGAGAGAGCTCACGTGCCTTTAAGGACAACCTCCTCCGAGCACAAGAACAGTCCATTCCACTACTCAGGGAAACAGGATGTATGAGGAGTCTGGCTTATATAAACAGGTAACTCATGACAGAGCATTATGCAGAGAGAGACATGACATATGACATAACTCATGACAGAGAAAATGCAAAAAAGTGAACCTGCAGCCCTTGCAGTACCTTTGCATGGCTAAATGTATATGTAAACAATGCTAGTCATAGTGCTACCCAGTACTGAAGGATTTGTGAATCATTTAGCATCTGATAGAAAGAAGGTAGACTCCAGTACCTTCTGGCAGGGCTAGATAGGCTTCGTTTTACAAAGGATAAAGCAAAATAGATGTGTTCCCCCAAGTACATTTGGGATATTCAGAAATTATTTTTACTCCCAGAAGCACAGTTCTGCCACAGCCAGTATGGGATAGTTTATCATTCCTAACGAGTCCAATTTTCATGTGTGTGTTAACACTATTCACTCTCTTCTGTGGCATGCAATGTTCAGCAAAAATCAGGATACAGGAAGACCTTTCAAGGAAAGTATCTAAGGAATGTGTTTCAGAACCTAGAATATGACCCCATGTAAAAATGTAAAATAGCTTGCTGTCATTAGCAGGTTTCATACTTCTCACTCAACCACCACTTCTTATAAATAGACATTTTGGTTTGGGGATTCTGTTGTCTTCCAAGGTTGCAAAAAGAAATTGAAGGGAATTGGTTATACATTTTGCTCAGGCTACAAAGACAATCGTGTTTGATACTTCTAAGAGCACTGTGATTTAAGATGTTATTGCTCGGTGGCACAAAATTCCATTTCAAGATGTCTTTGCAAATGTAATATACTATGGATGACAGGTATGGCTTTGCTTCCTTCTTAAAAGCACATGTAATAAACTCCTTACTTACCCATATAGGATTATGGTGTTACACCAAAATATGTAACACAGCGAAACGAAGAAATGAAGAGAGCTCAGAGGGAATATGAGGCCAGTATCTTGGAGCATCTCAAGAAAAGAGCCATGAAACGGCTATCTGATGAAGAAAGGAGAAGTCTTCTGCAGGTGCATATTTTGATTTAGTGTAATTAGTAACATGTACAAAAGATTAATAAGATAATGTAAAGAATAAAAGTATACTAGATTTTTTTAAGTGAGGCAAATGGGTTAGCTACTTTTTCACTAGATGGAGCTGTAGAACAGTTGTAAACTGAATGGGAGGGAGCTGATTTAGCTACTTTTTTAGTCCAGGTTTACAAATACTTCAATTCTGTTAGATTCCTATCTGCCTTAATGACTTGGAATTTCAGTGAAACTTCAAAGGAATGCGAGAAATCACCGGTATGGATTTAGTGACAGTTCTGACTCTCTACTTGTGAATCATGGAAAAATACATTTTTTTTCCCCCTGATGCATAACATTGCCACTTTTATTGGCAGTTTCTATCTTCAGGTTGTGACCTCACTGACTAAAGCATAAGGTCCCGCTTTAAAACGTGGCAAAAACAGAAAACAGAATTAAATTGCAATATATTCATAGAACTATGACTGGAAATATTGTATTTTGTCAAGCTGTTTTGGATACTGTCTTTTATACAGTTTTTATTGCACAAGACTTTCTAAAGAGAAATAATACCATAAAAGAAGTAGAGCAGAAAAGCAACATCTTAAAAGTATATCCAATCCTTGAACCGGAATTTCTCATAACCACATTTTAGCCAGATTTCCTATGAAAATGAGGCTTACATTACTGTGATATCTGTTTATCAGTCTGTCCCTTGATGACTTGATCTTAGCAGCCACCTGAAACAAATGAGCAGATGGATTAACATCTCCAAGATTCTAAATTCCCATGAAAAAGCCAGCAGAATATTTAGAGAGAAAACACAGTGACTAACTCACTTGCAAAGATTAACTGGTTGATCAGCAAGATCCAAAATAGCTAGTGTGATGGTGTCTCTTGCTTATGCAGCAAGCAGTAGAAGCTGGGAAGGAGTATGGGAGAGAGGTGAGGGTATTGCATTGGCAGCAATATAAAGAATGTAGCAGCAAGGGTGAAAATTAAGATTTTTTATGGTGGGAAAGGCATGGGACAAGCTGATGGCCCAGCAAGTTAACTATGCAGCAAAAATATGTATGCAAAAAGGCATATGAGTTCAGCTGCTCACAGTTCTGTATTTAGTTTTATTAAAATTATGTTCTATTTTTTAAAAATACAAGAGTGCACTGAAATCTATTTTAATTGAAAAGTCTTTAGATTGGTTTTATTAACTCAGTATTTTCTTTTAAATTTTTCCAGAAAGTTTGCTCTTTCATGGGCCAGATTACTTACACAGTTATATTGTCAGGAGGATTTAGTGTCCCCAGGGTATGTGGCTTCTGCCCAGTGCTCAGCTGCAAACATATGGGAATTCCTGTCTTTTAAAATAATTAACATTGCTAGTAACACATGTGCACTATCTGATTTGAAAGAATATGTGGCAATAGATGTCTGAGAACAAAATCAAGCCTCATGAACTTACAAAAATAAAGGGAAATAATTTGTGCCAACATTTTTTGAACTCTCTCTCCATTATGCTTACTTTGGTTGGGATTTTATGGGAATAAAAGAGTATTTTGATAAATGCAGTACATATTTCTCACTGATCCGGCATGTATTAGACTTCCTTATATAGCGTTAGATACTCAGTTTGTGATCTAGCCCATAGCAGTAGTGGTCAGCATATTACATTGCTGTTGGAGGAGCTATGAGGGAGATTTTTACGTAGGGAGTCATGACCTGCTTTTGATTCACCACTCTGTAGGGATAGAGTAAATTGTGATGAGTGCATGCTCTAAGGTGTTCTAAAACTCACTGTTTTCAATTATTTCCAAACCATTTTTTACTAATGTACACACAAAAAAATATTTAGAAGAAGCTATGAATGACTATTCTATGAAAGTTTTGGAAATACTGCATTTATTTTCATGACTATAAATTTGTAAACTATACCTTATGCCTGGTAGACTAGGAGCTTTAAGTACTGTACAGCCTTGGATTGCAAAGACAAGTAGCATTACAAGACAGTAAGTAAATAAGCTTGTTGCTCTTAGTTTCATATGTTGAGGTAGGGTTTTTAAATTTATGTAGATATTTGTATATGAAGATTGTTGGAATAACCGTTACAGACAACACTTAGATGCTTAACATGAATCTATAAAAAGCACGAATTGCTATGCAATAAATGCACTGCTTTGAATCATTACAATACTAGTTCGTATTAAAAAGTATGCTTGCCTTAGTATTGGCAGGGAGATGTAATTTTTTTCTGTTAGATCAATTCATACAATGGACAAAGTCAGACAAGTTTTTAAGCACAAGAGTCCTTGAGTTCTGAAATAGAAGTAACAATGTTCAAAGTTAAATATGTATTAAGAATAATTTCTCTAAATTTAACTTCAGTATGTTAATGCATTAGCCAGTCTGGGAGAAAAGGTGCTTAACAATAATGGAGAAGAAGGACATGAGGTTGGAAATCACAACATGCTGTAAATCAGTGGGTTAGCTGAATCCAGTTTTAGTTACAGAGGAGAGCTGAAAACTTTAGTTCCCAAGAGAGTAACTTCAGTTCTTCATTTTTGAAGATCCTTTGTGATGTCCTCTAAGGTAACAGAACTGAGATCCAAAAACATTTTGGAAGTGTTTTCTTCCCGATAGCCATATTGTATTATTTACTGATTGCTGTATGAGTTCCTTGTAGTAGGTGTAATTATTAAGTTCAGCCACAGAGTTTTCATGAGGACACTTGATGCACTGAATAAACTCTACTAAATCCTCATACATGCATGCATAGGATGTGTAGATTTTTTATAGATCCTCTTGAGGAGAGAAGGTAAGAGCAATTGTTGCAGTAGCTGTGAGGATGTAAAGAAAAGTTTTACATTTTATTTTTCTGCCACAGTCTGGTTCCATGCAGCATATCTTGGTGGATAAAAGATTGTCTCTGATGTTGAATTAACAAGTTGATGAGAGCATGTTTCCGATGATTGCTTGGGGTTTTTTAGGCAGGGTTTTAGTCTTGGGGTTTTATATGTGGAAGATACAGTTGCCTTTATCTAGTAAGGTAATACTTTGCATAGCAGCATTCAAGAGAGATAGCAGTTACTGAAATTGTTGTTGATAGGGTCAGTGACAGGTTTTTTAGTCCAAATAATTGATAAGTTGTCTTTAGATGTTATTGTAAGTGTAGGTTAGGAAGGGAATGCAATTATTTAGAATGTTTTCGAAGTAGCTCATAGAAGTTAAAATATCGTGGGATCAGTTTGGTGTCCATGGTCTGAGCAAAGTCTCAGTTATGGAAAATGAAGCTGGTGGTGAGATGAACTGAAACTGCTGCTGAATTTTGACTGGAGTTCCAAGCATCGGTACTCTTGTGATTACTTAAGGTAGGTAACACCACTGTCTGTGGCAGCCAGGTTGCTGTTTATGGGCAAGTGGTTTCTGTAATGCAGTTTGTAAGATATTTCCTGTTGCATTTTGGAGAAAAGGAGGCATTTGGGTAACATGAGTTTTGAGGCAGCTTTTATGAATCCTAGTAGTTCCTCAGTGAGCGTACCAGCATTAGATACAATGGGGCAAAGTTGCCTACCTGTAGATCACTGAAAGCATAGAAAGTCTCTTATATAGAGTAAGGAAGAGTCACTCTTCACTCACCTTGTGCAGTTTTTATTGAAGATACTGAGGACTGGAAACTAAGTGTACAGGCTTCCTTGGGTTCCTGGTAGGCTACAGAGTTGACTGTTAGTCACACTGACATACTTTTTTTCAGTTTAGCATTTTTGTAGCTCGTCCTTCATTTGCCAGTTTGATTATTGTTTTGTTGCCTCTTAAAGACTGTAATTTTTTCTCTCCAAGGCACAGAGTTTTATAAAGACAATTCCTTACATTTCATCAGCATGAGTCAAAGTTATTTCTGTTGCAACTACTTTAACTTTTAAACATTTAATTCATTTGGTCCAATTAAGATGATTAAACATTATCCATACCTTTATCTATTATTTTAACATTGCTGTGACAATTATCAAATGCAATACTAACAAAAAACCCTAAGTAGTTTATATGCATATTATTCTTAATGAAGGAAGTTTTTCTCATATATTTCCTTTTCATTTAATGGCACTAGGGGCTGAAAAAGAACTGGGAGGAAGTGTATCATGAATTTCAGGGTCTTTCGGTAGAAATAGACACCGTGCCCAAGAAGTTATATAAAGAAAAGCTGGAATCACAGATGAAGCAACTGGAGCATGACATAGAAGTAATTGAGAAGCACAAAGTTATCTACATTGCAAATGAGTAAGGACTGTTTTTCAGATATTGCCTCTTCCCTCCTTTTCTTTTTCTCTATCCCTACATCTCCAAGAACCGCCCCCCTAAATTCTCAGCAGAAACTGACACCGCCAACTGTTCAGAAGGAAATATTCAACTAATATAAATAGAAAACTTCATAGAAAAGTTGTTACATATAGATCTCATCTGTATACTTCACAAAATGTTTTGAAATAAAATTCTTCATTAAACTTTGAGTATAAAATCATGAATTTAATCTATTATTCTTTGTAATTTTTATTAACTACTAAGATTTCTATAAAGATCATACAAAAAGCATAAAAAATACCGTTTCCTATGTTTGGAGCACTTCTTTCCTTGCGTAGCCAAAACAAAGTGAAATAATTGGCTGCTGAAGACAGCTTGGTAAATATAACTTCAGGGTGGGATGGCTTCCGGACTAGTTATTAAAGAGCTGTTGGGCTTTACTTAAAAGCTTGAGCAATTGTATTTCTAAACAGCTTGGCTTCTGCATAACATTTTGTGTACTCATTTTTGTTACCAAAACCAATTTTTATAGTGGAAGCCCATAATAATATAGACTTTACACAATACAGATACCACATGTAGCTTGTTATGTGTGTTTATGTAGAAATAATTCTGTAATACTATAGTAAATCTACAACTAAAGTAGAAAAATGTGTTTTGATTGCTATTATGTGTGTTAGAATGAAAGCAATATACTAGCATGTGAGTCAACGCCTAGGCAGAAATTATATCAGCACATTATACTGCAATTATTTGCATTAAAGGAAAATTGTTTTTCTTTCCTACTGCTTAACCTTTGCTTCAGAACACAGCTTTTTCTGTAGGGTATCAATCACTACCACCAGCAGCTGTTGTGACATCATAGTATCTGACATCAGCAGAGGATGAAGAAAAAAATTTCAAATGAACTATTAAAAGCCAAATTTTCACGTGCATTAAGTTCCTTTCATAAACTCGTCAGGGAATGGCTTTGAAGACTTCACAGTGATTCTAAGCTATATTTCTTGTGCTTCTTAAACCTGTCTATGACATACACTAGGAAAGCGTGCGTGAGTAGGAATGTGTATTTTGTTCTTTGTAACGTATTGTTAAGCAATCATGTTTATTTTTGAAAGATATAAGCTGGAAGAAAGCTGTGGGTTTGTAAAACATTAATTTCATTTACTGTTTACTCAAAAGGATGACTTGTACTGTATATTTTAACAAAACCACACCAATTATAAGCAGTTAATAACATGTCACATTATCTCCTAGTGAAGTACAAGATGCCTGTCTTAAGAAATGCAATATAATCAAACGTGGCTGTTTCTTGTGGCTTAAAATAAAAAACTAGATTTGACTCCAAAACAGCGTGCATTCCCACTGCCTCACTCTCAGCTTTTAGTTACTTGTACGCCATTTGGCTGAGATAGGCTGAGGATCTGGATTTGGTTCTTTCATATATCATCAGTGCTAACTTTATGGAAATGCAAAGTAGGTGATGGGGTGTGCCAAAATTTGGGACGAGCAACTAGGCCATACTTGGAAACATTCATCATTCACCACAAATAATGACTTCTTTTTAAAATTGTTGGAAGGATCCAGTATATTATTGGGAAGTTAGGAAGTGAACAGGAAGGGATGCAAAAAGTATTCCTGCTCAACAGGAGAGGGAAAGACTAAAGCCAATGCACTTCTGTAGCTGAGTGGGCTGCCACCAGTATCTTTCAACAGTACTGTGGGGGGTTTTTTTGCATAAACCTCATACAGTGCTTTGCAGGTGGCTCTGCTGCCACATGGGAAGTTCCCCTCTTGATCCATGTGAATAGCTTCTGTCTCCCTATGGGGAGGTTGTAACTCCTTCCATCTATTTTGATGTGCATTCCATACGACCTACCAACACTTCTGATTATGGAAAAAAATATATGATAATGAAAACCATTGAAAATACACACAGAAGGATAACATTCTTACCCTTTAACTCTCTCTGGGAAGTCTGACAAAACAAATTGACAGAATCCAAAGAATGTAACTCCATATTTATATGTTCAGGAAATGCCAATAATTGACGGTGTAAGGCTCATGAATCAAGTGATACGTACCATCACTATAACTAAAGCAAAAAGGTGAGTAAACTCAATTGTTCTGATGGAATTGTTCCTTTATAAAAGATACTAAATGTTAACAGAAACAAGTCTCTTTTTTTTTTTTTATTGGGCAGCTTTTCTTCAACCCGTATCTTCAGAACTGTAAGTCCTGAATATGATAATCTGTTTCTGGAACTCCCTAGAGTCAAGTCATGTTGAGACCCAGTGTGCAGACCTGAGAGCAGAACTTTTGCTGTGATATTTTGAAAGAAAAGGAAATTACAATGTTCTTTAATTTAAAAAATGTTTTAGCTGTCTTCTTGGTTAAAAAAAACCACTAATGTATAAAAACATAGCATCTTGGATGTTTCTTAACATCTCAATTTAATATTAAGACGTCTCTTGTGACTTTGATTTTACTCACAGATTAATTAGTTTTCATCAGCAGGAGCTTCCAACCTCCCCCACCTTTACTATGGCATTTTTACTGTGACACAAGCTGCTGGAAGTTTTACTGGGGTTTTCAAATACATTCTGAGCACTTGCTGAGGGTGTAAGTTGTGTAACTAAGCAAATGTGTAAAGTGTGTATTTCAAAGTTACTGCTGCCAATGGTAACATTTCTACTGACTGTGACCAGCTGCACATGAGTAAAGAAAAGTAAAAAAACCTCAAGACTGATCAAACGCTTTCCTACAAACAGCTGTGTTTAGAATAGGTGAAAAACTTTTGGTTTTCCACACTTGGTCTTTCCAAATCATAATTTCCTGGTGTTTCACCCTCACAGAAAAACCATAGAATTATATCAGCCCTAGCTGGATTAGGGCTTAGTCTTCAGAAATTCAATACATTTTTGCAAATATAAAAGTGAAATTTCAATAAAATTGCTTTTTGTGGGCTATCACTAAAACAGACCCAAGTCACACAAGCTGTGGTACTTAACACTTTTCTGTAGTGAAGTTTGAACTTCAGTCTGCAAAACCAGCCACCACTATGGGAGTTCTGTCCACAGGCTAAAAAGGAGCATTAGCAGTTGAAACCATCCTCTAAATTCACTAGTCAATTACTGATAATCAATAAAATCATGAGAAAGAAAAGAATCAAAATGCTGCTAGTGCTTCATAATTATTTTATCAAACTGGTATTTTTAAATGGTCAATATTAAATTGGATAACCATCACAGAACACATGCTAAACTTGGGATGAATGCTCTATTGGTCAGTAAGAGTTGTGTTGCCACAAACTGAAAATATTTCCTGTTGGAAGTTATGCATTACAAAACCATGTATCTATTCTTTAAAAATAGCAACATGAAATTACGATAAATATCTCACTGGCTGTTCTTCAGAATGAACCTATTTATATCCAGGACGGAAGGGATCAGATATGGCATCGTCACAAACACGGGGAGTTCCTGATTGTTTGGCTCTGATAGAGCTGCCTCGAGCGAGCATCAGATCCGACGGGAGCATATGGGCTCCATGTGGCTGGCCTCAAAGCACAGTGGTTTCTTGGGCTCTGCATGCGTTATTGGGGATTAAGTGTGGGACAGTTCCTTGAAATCTTCCTTGCTGAGGGGTAACCTCCTTCCCCTCATGAAACAGTAAGGACAAATTCTGTGGGAGAAATAGTATGGGAGAAATTCCTCACCAATTTCGTTTTCCTTAATCTATGTAGGTGGGTTTTACCATAGGAGGGCATGTTCTGGCCTTTTGTATACTTTTGTGAAAAACTGGTGTCACAAACAGCTTCTGTGATCGCTCTGCCACAAAGCTAAAATCTAGCCCTTTCACTGGCGTACATTCCAGGGAAAACAACTTACCGAAACATTCCAGCCCTAAGGAAGGCAGACATCTTTTAGATAAGAAAACTTCACATATATGCAGATTAATGGGAGTCCTAGATAAATTCTAGTCCTGGTCAATGCTTTCATCCTCAGCTTTACAATGTTTGTAATATTAATAATATAATTACAGGAGAGACAGGTGGCAAAACCTATTATTAAGGTTGCCTGGCGTTTCCCATAGCCAGGGAAGCCAGCCACTGAGCTCTGCAGCCGATCACCCGCCCTGGTGGCTGGAGGCGTATGGAGCCTGACCAAGCTGAGGAGGACTGGCCATTGCTCCCCACAAATGGACAACCGAGGTAGCAATGTATACTTGATTGCTGAATGCCTAGATTGTAATTTTTTTTTCATTCTTCCTTGATCTTGCTCCAGCTCCCTTTTATTATGTAGTGCTATGTAAATTAAATGTGAGTAAATTCTGGGTTTTCATCCTCCAGGCTAAGCAGTGGCATTATGGTAGGGATATGAGGTGAGTTGAGTTTCTTGTTTGTGTTCTTTTCTTTGCTGTTTAAAGGGCGCTGAGGTAGATGTGACTTCCACTTCACCAAGTTATAAAGAACATACTTTTTTTTTTTTTCCCCCCAGGCTGTACCTCCACAAATGGTTGTAGCTGAGCAGGTGCAGCCAAACAGTAGGTTATGTTCCTGTCAGCTGGTCTTGTTGGTGCTGCTATGAGGATGAACTTCTGTTCAGTCACGATACTAGCCTGTGTTGTTAATTCATTATTCCATGCCTGCCTCCACAGCATGGGGAAGTTCACACAAATGTGCAAACCCTGGAGTAGCTTTGTCTTCAAATCCTTCCTCAAATGTTCCTTTGCAAAGGTGCCTACCAAAAATTTAACAACAGCTGAGCTGCTGCTGAGCTGAGATTAGGGTTTATTTCACTGACCTGTGTGGTTTCCTTGAACTCCCCTGGCACTGTAGCCAGTTGTTTCTTGTCTTAAGCTTAGATTGTAAGTTATCTGTGGTGTGGATCATCTTTTTCTCCCTTTGGCTTAGTGTCAGACACATAATTTTTGTTCGTAAGTAGAGCTCCTACGTGCTTATAATAATAATAAATATGATCATCT